CTGAAGTGACCATAGGAAACCCGTGCATGGGAGAAGAATAGCAATACAAATGTGTCAATCAGCAACCTACTCGCTGTGCTGCCTCCCACATGCACCACCGTGTTTACCTGCAGGCAGATATCGGTGATAAACGATTGCTCCATCTCAGACTGCTCGTCCGCCTTTAGGTAGCTTGATTATGTGTGTGTGCCACTCCACCTACCACCCTAGTTGCCCTCTGGTTACTTCCAGATTCTAAAACTGGGAACCACTGATCAAGGTTTCCAGTGCAAGGGTTCTCCAAGCTAAGTATTTAACATAAGATCCATAAAATGCTAAGGGGTCCATGAAGGCAATGGAGTGGTATTTAGATTGGTTACGCAGTCGTATGATTGCTCTGCTGGAATCAGCCTGTGCGAGAGTTGTAAATGTGAGCTATTACTTTTTCGTACAGAACGATGCAACACTGATGACAATAATGGGGGGGCAGAGCTATTGCTGGCAGCAGTGTGGCATCTTCACTCCAAAAGCCACCAGGAACCCGTCTGGTCTATATAGCACACTCTGGCAACTGCAGACGAGTGTCCACAGTCATTTCCCCTTCATCTTGCGAGCAGCCGTGGCAGCAGCATAGCTGGATTTGGCCGAATAAAGATCCATTGGCACTTTTATGATGGGCTTTCTGTGCAATCAACAGTGACTGAGCTGAGAGCCAGAAACCATCTAACTCATTACACGAGGGGTAAGCCCAGTGCCGTAACCCTGGATCTCAGAGGTGCTGGCTCAGTTATCTGGTAAGGACATGAGTCTTTTGGGCCACAACTACCTCACAATGCGTCATGGTTTTACAACCTCTGCTTATAGTGTCAGTGTAATCTGATTTTTTCAAACGCATAAAAAATTATTTAGTTGTTCGTTACGGATAGATGGTTGTTTCGTATTGTTAAATATTGTTGTATTTTTAACATTTTTTTGCGATTATTGGATTTATCTATGTTCATAGATCCCAGCCAGCTGGCTTTGTTGCAAAACGCTCAATAATCTTGTATCATATTCTTGGTTATTTTGGTAAAGTCACGTAGAAGGGAAGTAATAAAATAATAAAAATATAAAACAATACAATTCTCACGACGTTTCGACTGCAACACAAGCAATCATCATCAGGTGTGAAATCCACAGCAAGAAATTTTGAAAAAACCGCTACTTTTTTCAAAATTTATTGCTGTGGATTTCACACCTGATGATGATTGCTTGTGTTGCAGTCAAAACGTCGTGATAATTTTAAACGTCGTGATAATTTTATTGTTTTAGATTTTTATTATTTTATTTTTTCCCTTCTACGTGACTTTACCAAAAGAACCAATACTATGCATCCCTGTAGTCACGAAAGCTTTAAATCAATATCTTATATCAGTTTACCCTCCTAGCGGTTTGATTAATTGTTCTTATTCAGGGTTATGATTTGCTTCAAGAAGTGACCATTTTTTTTGTATTTTTCTTTTATTTGTTACGTCTCATGACCAAATTTCGTGGCATGATGTTATTTTCCTCACCTTGTATACGGGAGGTTGTGGGTTTGATCCCAACGCTAACTTCTGTATATTTTCAGTTTGCATGTTCTCCCCGTGGTCGCATGGATTTTTTCTCTGGGTCCTCCAATTTTTCCCTCCACAATTAGAAAAAAGCGCTAAATTTGGCTGTTATACATTTTCACGTGATAAACCATGTCGTTGAGCTATCATTTGTGGTCAGGTCAATTCCTAAAAATAACTAGCTTATGGGGCTTTACCTGGTTAAATAAAACAAAAATAAAAACAAACTTTAGTGTTAGTATATTTATGTATTCATACATTTTTAGTGATTTGCTTACCTTTCCTATACTTTTCACGTATATCGGTTTTTTTGTATTGTTTGTTGTTGTAACTTTGTGACCTGCCATTACTGGACATCTGTGAAAAAGAACTGCATAGCTCATCGGATTTTTCCAGGATAAATACAATTGTGATTCTCATATTCGCCGGAAGGTATACCAGCATAAATCATAACGAATCGATTCTTAGATGCACATTGTGAGCATAACGATGTATTTAAATCCACACATTGAATTATTCCCTGAATTATGCTGGAAACACATTGAAAAAATTGTAAGTAATAATCCTGATTAGGGATCTATTAAGTTATCCCTTCATTATCGATAATATTATTACCACCTTTGTGGGAAGTCAACAATGTTCATCATATAGAGAGATTGGCTCCTGCAATAGGATTGTGGATTTTTCACCACTGGTTCAGAACAGTCAGTGGAGATCAGCACTGCCCCAGTGCTCATTTGAGAAGGAATGTTTTTTACTTTTTTTTTCTAGTACAAGTGCTGTCAGTCTCACAATGAAGCTCTATCCAATTGTGAGCCGATGATCAAAGATCCCTGATAGTGTTACAGTGCTCTGAACTCACACCACGTGTTAGTGTTCCTTGATGTACAATCAATGGATCTGTTTGTCTTTGCAAAATAAACACTTTGAGTGTTGTGACTGGGCAACAGCTATGGGTTCCAGCAGAAGGAGGCAATGGTGAGGACTGGTGGCAGCAGTGGATATCCATAAATCCAGTCATACCTGGCTTTGTTGGTATGATGCAATGCAATATTGATACATTTATTACCAGCAAAGCCAGGTATGACTGGATGAAGTCACACCTTGGGTGGAAGTTACAGTATTGTTGAAGTAAACCTGCAACGGATTTGAACTTGTTGTGGAATTGAAGCATTAACCCTAGAAAATCCAAGTTGTTGGATCATTTCTTTGCCTGGAACTGTACCCCGAAGTTAACTATGTACCTTTAAAATGTTTCTAAAACAATGACAAGGTACACCCTTTCGTCCCATCGTCTCGACCATTGGCTCACCCACCGACAAACTGGCCCAATATCTGTCTGAGACCTTGCAGCCATTCACTGGTAAGACCACCTCTTCTGTACTTAACGCAGCTCACCTCGAATCGTCAATTAAAGATATCTCACTGTCCCCAGATGATTTGTTCGTTAGTTTCGATGTAGTTTAATTGTTCACCAAAGTTCCTGTGCCCAATACCATTGCAATCGTTGAAGATTTGGTTCAACAAGGATTGAATGCTTATGTACCGGCCCTGGTGAGACACTGTCTCACCAATACATACTTCATCTGGAATGGAACATTCTACAAACAAACTGAAGGCACCCCAATGGGTTCTCCCTTATCTCTGGTTGTAGCCAATATTTTCATGGAAATTTTGGAGACGGACGCCATCCAGGCATCCATTCTACGCGCGTCCTTGTGGAAGAGGATGATACGTTTGTCATCTGGCCACATGGCCGACTGGCTCTGAACCAATTCCTCAACCACATTAATTCCATACACCCAGCCATCAAATTCACCAAGGAGGTAGAAAAGGATGGCATGCTACCTTTCTTGGATGTTCTAATCAAAAATAGACCAGATGGCTCAATGAACCATTCTATCTACAGGAAAGTAACCCATACTGACGCCTACCTAAAACATGATTCCCACCACCATCCATCCCAAAAAAATTCCCTCATAAAAACGCTACACCATAGAGCTCACTGTATCTCCGACCATGAACACCGAACCAGTGAACTGAAACACGTACACCAAGCTCTCATGGCGAATGTATATTCTGACGACACAATCCGCAAAGCCATCACCCCAACCGTGAGGAAAGAGCCATCTGAGAATCTCATCAAAACCACCATCTTGCCATACAAAGCAGGGGTAACCAAAAATATTTCCAAAATCATAAACAAACACAAGATCCAGGTCTGATTTAACACAGTACATACAATTCGAGATCTGATCCCATCTGTGAAGGACAAGATTCCTGACATGCAATATCCCGGCGTCTACAAACTAAGCAGTATCTGCGGCAGCAGTTACATTGGGGAAACTAAGCGACATGTCTCGGACCGTGTTCGTGAGCATAAGCCAGATTTGAAACACGGTAGGGCCAATACTTCTGCTGTGGCTGATCATAATTTTAATGGTACTGGCTCACACGAAATTGATTTTTCTAAGACGATGGTACTTTGCAAGCCTACTGGCTATCAACAAAGATTTGTTCATGAAGTCATCCATATATACAGACACAGACAGAATTTCAACCGAGATGATGGTTATAAACTCAGAAATCATTGGAAGGATGTCATAAACCTCTTTGGGTCATGACTTAATTTGTGTTTTCTTGTCAACCTCTACCGTCAGCAGTGTGGGTGTGTGGAGCGAGATGCAATGATTTCCTGGTGGAGACCTACTACTGGCCTACATTAACATTAGCTGCCCCACCCATGCTGCTGACACAATTGGGCTACGCCCATCCATAAACCTTTATAAACAGTTTGCCTTTAGAGGATAACTCCCCATTTTCCTGATGACGACCGCTTGTGCTGCGATCAAAACATCGTGGTTTTTGTTTTCATTTTATTTTTACATTTTTAAATTTTTATTCACTTTAGTTTATATTATTTATCTATCTACGTGACTTTACCGAAAGAACCAAAGAATATAACAATTACAAGTTAATATATTGTTTTTCTATCTTCCTGAGTTAACAGACAGTTGTCATTAAAGGCTTGAATGTTGACATGTCAAAGTAGCTCTTTACTCAACTTGTCTTCTTTTATGGTCCTGTTCCAGTGATATACTTCACATCCTTAGTGGACTGTTATCCTCTCACAGAATATCACTCTTTGTATCTATCCTGGGGGGATGATGTGCGTAATTTGTTACAGCTAATGCTATGATGTTACCACTATTGTTTGATACAGTAATTCTGATTGTGCCATGGCATGTATTATACAAACCATGACAGTTACAAATGATCATGTCTTAATAATGTTTTAAGCCATGTTAATGCAGGGTTAAAACGGTTGGTGAATATAATGAATCCTGAAGTATTTTATTAATCAGCAAGAGCTATTTTTGTAAAGTGTTTGCTAGAACGTGATGTTGTGTTTTTCTGTTGCTGCTGAAGCTATGTAATGTGTGGCGAGGTGGGAGACGTGGCGGATGGCGGTACCAGCGCTGAGCACATTAATACTGGGGCACACCACGGCAAGCACGGCAAACCACGACACCGCCTACCACGTGGCACCCGGCTCTCCACGTGCCCGCTCATGCCAGGTCCTGCAACATCGCCGCGAGAAGCAACAAGACTGGCAAGCCAGGGTGAGCGTCGTGAAGCATGCCAACACGAGCCTCTCTCCTGCCACGCTGTCTCAAGGCAGCTCATGACCCTGACGCTTGTCCGGCACCTGCGCACACACACCCGGAGGTGCACGCAGCGCTGACGATCGCAGAGAAGCGGAACCTTTAGATCGCACGGCCAGGGCAGAAGATCACCCCCGTGCCGGACCTGGTGCATGTGGGTTGCGTGACTCTGCGCGACCCGCGGCCGCTCGACGATGGGCCACGGCTGGGGCTACTATGGCCCGGGTTACGGCGCGTACCTGCGCTCCGCCGTGCCGCCCTGCTTGCTTCTACACGCCTGCTGCTGCGTGCTCGCCGCAGTGTGCTCGTGCAGCCGCTCCGCCTCGGCCGGCGTGCCGTTCTGCCCCAAGGCGTGCCGGTGCTCGGCCGAGCCATTGGGGGAGCTCGCCGTGCGCTGCAGCGGCGCGCGGCTCACCGAGGTGCCCCGCGACCTGCCCTCCGAGGTCACGCGCCTCGCCCTGGACGCAAACCACATCACGTGCGTGCGGCCTGGCGCCTTCAGGGGCATGCGGCGGCTCAAGGAGCTCAACCTGAGCGGGAATCTGTTCGAGACACTCCCCGCCGGAGTCTTCGCTGGCCTGGAGGACACGCTGAAGATGATCGACATCTCCGACAACAGGCTCACCACCCTGCGCCCGGAAATCTTCCAGGTGGGTTGTGTGGATGACTGTGATTGCCAGTCTGTGGTGGGGTGTTAACTGGTTGGATAGTGCTGCTGTTGGAAAATGTCAAATTCGTATCCTGCTTCGTGGAAAACGCATGCTTATGAGCTACCCATGATTTATAAATGATGTACATTTGATTTTGTTTGATTCCCAATTATACTCAAAAATTGTGCTCCTGGCATCATGTCATGAGGCAAGGAAATTTCCACATGGAACTCTCACTGTGAGCCTGTACATGAAATAATATTAAATACCAGAAAATTACGTCACGTAATTACTGTTGAGCTCAGTTTGATTGCCTCTAAGCTGTGCTATTTAGTGCACCTCTTATCGGACCCATGTACTCCCTTCCCATTTCATCCCATTGGTTCGTGCTTACCGGCGATTTCAACTGCCCTGGCATGACCCAATCAACCATTGACGGTTACCTTGCCGACACTCTCAATTCCGATAACTTGGAAGTTCTCAACCTGGGCCCTAACCGTGTTTCTTCCACTGGCAGCAAGGGCATGCTTGACCTCATCATGAAGCTGGATTCTGATCATCGCATTTCTTCTTACGGTCAATTTCCATTTTCTACTCCGACCATAGCCTCATCATCACTTCCATTAAGTCTCCCCAGCCACTCATCCCCAAGATCACCCATCTTTCGCATAATTTCAGTCACATCAATTTCACCACTCTTCAAAATCTAATCGCAAACTCTCCCTCCATCCTCTCACCATCACCCGACCCCATTATCTGTGCCGAGCAGTTACATATTGATCTTATGGCTGTGCTCAACAAGGTCGCCCCCCTAAAATCTCAAACTACTCGATAACCTTCGCATGATTTTTGTTATCCTGCCCAAGCAAATGAGAAGGCGGCTCAAAAGGACTCTTGTACATAGCGGATGAACTATTGACCGGACTCTTTACCGTGCTGCGTTACGAGACAGCTAACGCACTAATTCTCATCTCACGCTCTGCATACATCTCTGAACGAATCCAAACCATCTCTCGCAACCCTCGAATACTATGGAAAGTCCTCAAGGCTCTGCTCCACCCAGGATAATCTTTTTACAATACTACCTTGCAGCTTCGTTCAGCCTTAAGAAGCTCACCACTATTGCGGACTCCATCAAGTCATCCCTAACCAATCACCATTCATACGTCATCATCACCCTGCCCTCCACTCACCAAACTATTTTCTTGTCCTCATTCACACCATATTCTTGGGTTCTTTCGGTAAAGTCACATAGATAGAAAAATAATAAGAAAGTTATTAAAAATAGAAATAAGAAAAATTAAAACCACGACATTTCGATCGCAACACAAGCGGTCATTGCGATTTATTTCTATTAAATTTTTATTCACTCTATTATGATTATTTTTCTATCTACGTGACTTTACCGAAAGAAGCAAAGAATATGAATTCCTGCAGTCAAAACTCATTCACACCAGTTTCTTCAAAAGATGTATTGGCCCTAATCCGTTCACTTCAAATCAAGACATCTCCTCTGGATACTCTCCCTGGCCATCTGTTCGGCTGCTGCGCCATGGAACTTGCAACCATTATTACCAACATTGCCAATGCCTGATTTTCCACTGGTTGTTTTCCGCCTACCTTAAAGGTCGGCCAGGTTGTTCAAAAAACCTTGCTTGGACTCTGCTGCCCAGTCTTAACTATTGTCCGATCAACAACCTCACTGAGCGTCTCGCTCTCACCCAACTCAAGCCTCAAATCACATTCTCACAGAATTTTTTATGCCCCTTTCAATCGGCTTATCGCAAGTTTTATTCAATAGGATCCTGGACGACATCCTCGGCGTTATCGATTCCGGTTCAATTGCTTTACTCGTAAGCCTTGACATTTCCTCAGCCTTTGACACCTTGAACCACAAACGCCCGAATCAATCTCCTCGAGTCCGACTTTAGGATCAGGAGAACTGCAACCAAACTGGATTTCCTAATTTCTCTCCAGCAAGTGTTTCACCAAAAAAAGTGGGAGCTACTTCATCTGACGAAATTCTGTTGACATGCGAAGTATCTCAGGGCTCAGTATTGGGCCCCCTGCTATTTTCCGCCTATTCACCTCCCTTTGGCTGATTGATCGACAGCTTCAATATCTGCTACCACTGCTACGCTGACGACACTCTTCTCATCGCCTCCAAACATCTCGGGCATCGACCGTCTTTCCGCTTGCTCAACCGGATTACAGCACTGGCTTCAATATCATGACCTCTCCCTAAAGTCTACCAAATCCGAGGCCATATTAATTGGCACTAGGAAAAGATTCGCTTCACTCTCACTCCACTCGGTAATCTAAATCGCTGGTTCCTTAATTCAGTTCTCTGACCATCTGACATTTCCCGGCGTCACTCTGGATCCCACTCTCTCCCCTTCGAAACTCATATCAACCTCGTTCTCAAGTCCTGCAACTATCATCTCAGGACCCTACAACATCTACCGCTCATCACCTCCAAAATTGCAAATATTCTCGTCTGCATCATCGTTGGGTCATGGCTCGACTATTGCAACTCAGTCCGCATCCGGTCCACTCTAAGCAACCAAAATATGCTGCAATGCCTCCAAAATCACATTGCCCGAGATGTCTAAGGCCCCTGCAACCCTCACCCTGACTCCCTGTCCATCCTGCTAGCCCTTCATTGGCTTCCCATTTCGACCAGAATTACCTTCAAGAACGCTTGCTTCTGCTACCGTGCCATAAAATCCACCTACCCAGGGTACCTAAGTTCTCTGCTGACGCCTTACACTTCAATGAATCGTAGAAACCTTAGCAGTTCCAACGCAGAACCTCCTTGAAACTCCCAGGACAAGGATCGTAATAGCTTCTTGTCGTTTCTGTGTCGCAGCCCCTGTTATCTGGAATGTCATCCATATTCACATCTGTAACGATCAATAATTTTCTTTGTTCAAAAAACATCTAAAGGTACATCTCATTAGCTCTACATTTAACTCAGTCTCACTGGACGCGCGATAAAATTTGACACTAAGCTTGGCTCTGCACCTCAGAATTGTGTCTTCTGTCCACAACATTGCGTGCGTTATAAATTGTAGTATTATTATGTCCTACTGTAGAGAGAGGTGTTTGTCATGTTGTAATTCAACTTACTTTTATTTTAGTCCTCGAAGCTAGAATAACCCACATTAAAATTGTGGTTTTATTTTTTTGTATTAATTGGTGACCAGTCTGAGACCATCAACGACTATACTTGAGAACCCAATTTAATCATAGGTGGTTACCTATATTCAAACCTAGGTGGTCAACAACGCTTGCACAGCACTCTGACCTGAGCTACCCAGTCCCCTGACTGGGTCTTCACTGGGTCTTAACATTACCCGCTTGGTGCTCTGACTTGGTTGTGGCCACCATTAAAGTTGATAAAAAAAATATGTAATTTTATGGGAAGTAAACACTGGTCTTCCTCAGTTTAACACGTAAGTTTTCACAACCAATCTAGATACTAATAGGGGTTTTCCCCTTTTTTCTAGCAACAAAATTGACACCTTTTGCAAGGAAAGGCGCCTTTTGGCGTCATCTGGTCGAACACCATATGAGACTAGGCTCCAAAGAAAGCTGTCTCTGGTGTGGACCAATCAGTTTCAAAGACAATGCATAAATTATCAGAGTATTGTTTTTTGTTTGCATTTGACTGCAAGTATTGTGGTTAATGTAAGCATGATTCATTGCAAAAGGTGTCAGTTTTGTTGCCAGAAAAAAAGGGGAAAAACCCTATTAGTATATTTTGGTACTGGCAAAGGAGGTCTCATGATGAACCAATCTAGATTTGAAGTTTTCATACCGAAAGAACCAAAAAGTATTTTCACAACCAATATCATCCATAACATAAGTTTTTTGGGTTAGATAGTGTATATATAAATGTGTCATCAAACCAGCCACCGCCCGACACAGCCAATTAGTAAGGGTTGTCACGTAAACAGAACATGCCAATTCGTCACTAGTACAGCACACCGGTGTGTTGGAGAGCCAAGCCAAAACATTTACCATCTGAGTACGACGTTTCGCCAGTAATTACAACTAGCTTCATCAGGCGACAGCCAGATTTTGTGGAGAAGTCCACCTGTGTTTCGTTCCTTATATAGAGGCGTAGATATGATGACAACACTTGTGCACTATGGGGACCTCATTTGCCAGTAAAAATATGATAATTGGTTTTTTACCCTTCTATCTGGCAACAAAACTGACACCTTTTTGCAAGGGAGTCATGTTTGCATAGACCGCAATACCTGCAGTCATAATACAAACAAAAGAACATAACTCTGATAATGTGCACTGTCCTCAAGGACAGTGTACATTATCAGGACAGTGCACATTATCAGAGTTATGTTCTTTTGTTTGTATTATGACTGCAGGTATTGCGGTCTATGCAAACATGACTCCTTGCAAAAAGGTGTCAGTTTTGTTGCCAGATAGAAGGGTAAAAAACCAATTATCAACACTTGTGCACTCTTCTTGTGAGAAGTGGGGGGGGGGGGGGGGGTTAATGAATCAACGTACATTTTAACACGTAGGCTTTCGATTGGCAGTTCGATTCCTACTTCCGGCACGGCAGTTGAAACAACTGTGCGCAAGTTTCTCCATGCCCCCCCCCCCCACTACTTTCCAATCACATAAATGGGCACACCATACTCAGTCGGTTGGCAGGTGTGGTTGGGGTAAAGTGTGCTTTACCTCGACCAACACGTCTGTTCAACGTGGGAGAGTAAACCAAATGCCCTGTATATTTCACTCCAGTGGAGGGTTTTCCGCCAGCGGTGGTCTGAGTAAGCAATTGCGGGGTCATACCACCTTCACCTATAATATTACTCCTGCATAATACATGCGATGTTCTACTGCAGATCAGCAACAGGATTACAGCTGGCTGGTTTAAAACTCTTTTGATGGCCTGTTCCGGGTTATCTATTGATAATTACTTCTTTGTGTTACAGGCACCAAGGTTTGGGATGTTATACCCATAACCT